AAAACCCCAGGGCCTTCTTGGCAGCCGGCATGTTCCCGCCCTCCCTGTCTGCAAAGCGGGTCGCAAGGCCGTCGCAGTTGATGCCTCAGTTCTCCACGGTCTCAGGGTTCTGCTTGCTTCCTTGTGGTCCCAGGGCGAAAGAACCCCCGGTGTTGCAGGATAACAAGCGTACAAGCGGTAAACGACGAGGGGGGAACCTTCAGCGCGGAACTTGCAGCTTGTGACGAGGATTGACGAGGTATCCCGACTATCCCGACTATCCCCAACAAGCCTAAGTAAGCCCTGCGTGATCCCAGTATCACATAACGCCTCAACTTGGCGAAACTAACTCTACCGCTGCTACAATAGCGTTGGCCACCGTTTCCTGAAGTGAAACAACAGTCGCAAAGCGGAAAGCAAGACAAACTAACATCAACAGCCACCTCTTGACGGAAGGTGATTGGACCATAACGTGAGTACAAGTTTCAGCGTCAATCGGAAGTTACTTTCGTCACCTTCTTCAAGCAACAAAATTAAGTGTGCCCCTAGGCTGAGCCCCCGATGAAGCGTTCTCGAGGTGGCATCAGTGTTGCGGTGCTAAGGTGAAGGCGTGCGACTTATCTTGGCATCATCTTTGTGACTTGAGCAGTTCCGCAAGGCTGTTGGCGGAGGCCCGTGTGTCTGCGTGGTCCTCACCAAACTTGCCACGGCGCCCCTCCAAGGCCTCTCGATAGAGCGATTCCGCCTGTTCGAGGTGGCCTTGCGCCTCCAGCACCCCTGCCAACTTGTGGGCCGACAGCAGCGTCGTGGGGTGCGTGTCGCTCAGCTTGGCCCGGCGCCCGTCCAACGCCTCGCGCAGCAGCGGCTCCGCTTCGTCCAGGCGGCCCTGCGACGTGAGCAGACTCGCAAGGGCATCCGCGGCGGTCAGAGTGTTGGGGTGGCCGTCGCCGAGCTTCGCACGGAGCCCTCCCAAACCCTCTCGGTGAAGTCGCTCCGACTCCTCCAGGCAGCCCTTGGACTCCAGGAGGGCTGCCAAGTTCAGGAGGCAAGCCAAGGTGTTGGGATGCGTGGCACCAAGCTTCGCCCGGCATCCGTCCACCGCCTCGCGATGCAGCGGTTCCGCCTCTTCTAAACGGCCCTGTTTCCGCAGCAGGCTCGCGAGGTTGTTGACCATAGTCATGGTCTTGGGATCGTCATTCCCCAGTTTGGCCCTGCAAACATGCAAGGCTTCTTGATACAGCGGTGCCGCCTCCTCCAGCCGGCCCATGCGCTGCAGGAGGGAGGCCAAGTTGTTGACACAGCTCATGGTGTCAGGATGCTCGCTGCCCATGGAAGCCCGGCATCCTTCCACCGCCTGGCGCTGCAGCAGCAGTGCTTCCTCCAGGCGTCCCTGGGTCTTTACCAACCTTGCCAAATTGCCGAGGGCGGCCAGCGTGCCAGGATGGTTCTCACCCAACGTCTGCTTGCGAGATGCCCAGCATTCGCGGTAGAGTCTTTCGGCTTCGTCATATTGCGCACGTGCATTCAGCCTCCGGGCGAAGTCGTGCATGCAGTGCAGAGTGTACTCATCGGCGTCGCCCTTTTCTTTGCGGAGGTGGGCCAGACGCAATCTCAGAAGCTGAAGCAGGCTGTCGGCCTCAGCGGAGACATTGCTGACGGCCCCGGAATCGTCCGTAGCTCGGACCACCCAGACATCCCGGCCCGGATCCACGGCCCGGCCCTTGTAATCCTCACCCAGTCGGACCTTCATCGCTCGCCACCGTCTTCTTCGCAAGGTCCGGCGTCTGTCTCTCAAATATGTTGTAGGCCATGGCCTTCGGTGCCAAGATGGGGACGCAGAAGTCGGCCCGGTGGCCCGAGGAGTTGCCGTCGCCCCACTCTTGCTGCACTCGCTCGGACTCCGCGTCTGCACCGCGAAGAGGGCTGCCATTGCTGTAGCTGTTCAAAAGGACCCGGAGTCTTGTTGCCCAGACGCAAGGCTCGTGCCTCGTAGCGTAGATGCCTTTGCCGAAATGGGCCCGCGAGTCCACCAAGGAAGCAAACAGCTCCCCGGCTGTTTGCTTAAGGTTCCCGATGCTGCGAAATGCTAACTCGTTCGTGTAATGGTAGAGGACTATAAGGTCCTCGCTGGAACTTCCCAGGTCACGTATGTCGAAGGCATGCTACCACACATGCACGGGGCCGTCCGCCGCGTCGTATCTGAATGTGCGCAGACCACCTGGGAACGTGTCCTCGGTGTATTGCGAGCCTGTGTACAGGTGACCCTGCAAGTAGGGCCCTGCGAAGTACTGCGACAGCTCTGCACGCTGCAACGCCTCACCGACTGCTGCGCTGGCACCCGCACCCATGGCAAGAAGCTGCCCCTGCCTGCTGACTCGACCAGTGGCACGCGACACTGCACCCCATGTCGGCGGCTCAGCTTTGCATGAGGCTCAGGAATGAAAGGATTTAAGTTGAGGGTTGTTAGGTGCGGGTTTAGAGTTTAGCGTGTTGTTTACTTCTTTGATATTTCGCTTCGCCGGTTTCCAAAATCCGAGTCTCAAAGCTTAGAGAATCTGGCGGCGGTTGAACGAGAGAACAATCTGACTTTTGCAGCGCATGTCAAGTCCTGGACATGCAGCTTAGTTGGGTTGGACGATTATTACATCGCACACACGCTCTGCTGCTCTTAAGACCACCACGACGAGTACTGCTGCTGCTACTACTACTTCTCCTCCTACTACTCCTACAACCACCTACTACTCCCACTACTCCTACTACCACCTACTACTACTACTACTACTACTACTATTACTACTACTACTACTACTACTACTACTACTACTATTACGACTACTACTACTGCTACTACGACTACTACCACTACGACTACGACTACGACTACTACTACGACTACTACTACTGCTGCTGCTGCTGCTACTACTACTACTACTACTACTCCTACTACTGCTACTACTGCTACTATTGCTGCTACTGCTACTACTTCTACTGCCACTTCTACTTCTACTGCCACTGTTACTGCTGCTCCTGCTCCTCCTCCTCCCCCTCTTGCTGCAGCTGCTGCCACTACGACGACGACTACTACTACAACAAAACTACTGCTGCTGCTGCTACTAC